GAAACCTAACTGGTGATTCCCAAACATACAACAAAAACCTATGTACAAGGATGCTCATTTTAACATTTTTGAGATAACAAAAAGAAAAAACCCTGAATGCCTGTCAATATGAAACTGGCTAAATTCTACACACTCACATAAGGAATAGTCTGGAACCATTAAAAAGAATGATGTAGATCCACATGAACAGAAAAATGTTCCATAATACATCACTGTTGTTGTTAGTAAGTATCATGGAGTTGGTTCTGACTCACAGAAACCCTGTCTAGGATTTCCAAGGAACAGCTAGTGGGTTTGAATCGCTGATCCTGTGGTTAGTAGTTCAGTGGTACCACACCAAGAGTCCATTTATCAGTAAGTTGCTGTTGTTGTTTAAAAAAGATGAAGAAGATTGTGTACATTTAACTGTGGAATCTATATTCTCATACAAGACTCTAGTGGTGCCATGGGTTAGCACTGGGCCGCTAACCAAAAGTCGGCAGTTGGAACCCACCAGCTGCTCTAAGGGAGAGAGATGAAGAAGTCTGCATCTATAAAGACTTACAGCCTCAGAAACCTGAGAGAGCACTTCTACTCTGTACTCTAGGGGAGCTATGAGTCAGAATCAAATTGATGGCAACAGCTATTGTATATTTATGTGCAATGAAAATGTCTAGAAGGATATTTTTTTAAATCTGTAAAGAATAGTTCTCTCTGATGAGTGAAACTATGGAATGGGGATAGGAGAACCTTATCCTTTTCTCTTTATACCTGCTTAAATTTCTTATCATCCATATATACTAACTTCATAAAACAAATCAACAAAAATAATGAATATCAACGTGTTTTGGGGGTGGTGAGATTATGATAATATTTTTTACCTTTTTATAGTCTTCTACATTTTGATTTTTAAATTAATATATATTGCTACATTTAACAATATATTACCACACATTACTTTCAAACTTCCAAAAATATTGGGATTTTATTTTTTAAAACATGCTAAATGTGGTCATTTCAAATTTTATTGTTGTTATTAAGTGTCATGGAGTTGGCTCTGACGCATAGCAACCCTATATAGGCTTTCCAAGGAGCGACTGTTGGGTTTGAACCACCGACATTGTGGTCAGCAATTCAGTGCTTATCCTACATCACTATAATAGTACTCTTCAAATTAGTGACTCAGATTAGGTTCAAACTAGAGGGGAAAGAAATCCATACTATTTAACTAAGTACTATTATAAACAAACTCTGGTAGCGTAGCGGTTACGATTTGGGCTGCGAACCTTAAAGTCAGCAGTTCGAAACTACCAGCCGCTCCGCAGGAGAAAGATGAGGCTTTCTGCTCCCGTAAAGATTTACAGCCTCAGAAACCCTGTACAGGGTTGCTATGGGTCGGAACTGACTCGACTGTACTTAACAACAACAACATTATAAACACTGTGGGAATTACAGAGAAATATCATGGAAAGACCTAATGCAACTCCCAAAATATTTATAAAGTAGTAATGAACACCAAGACAAAAGTAAAAGAAAATCCTTGACTTTGTTCACTGAAGTTGCTACTATAGTACTGGCTCCTTTTGAAAGCAAAAAAAAAAAAAAAATAGTATTATGAGGAAGCAGAGCCCTGTGTTGCAGTGGTTAAAGTATTCAGCTGCTAACTGAAAGAAAGGCTGGCAAAAAGATGTGACAGTATGTTTTCATAAAGATTTGTTGTTGTTAAGTACCGTGGAGTCGGTTCCAACTCATACTGACCCTACACAGGGTTTCCGAGGCTGTAAATCTTTACGGGAGCAGAACGTCTCATCTTTCTCCTGCGGAACCGCTGGTAGTTTCGAACTGCTGACCTTGAGGTTGGCACCCCGATTCATAACCACTACGCTACTAGAGCTCCTTTCATAAAGATTTACAGCCTTGGAACCCTAATGGGGCAGTTGTACTCTGTCCTCTAGGGTTACTATGAACTGGAATCAACTCAAGTGGGTATGGTATGGGTATGAGGAAGCTGCTCCCAAATATTTAAAGAAGGTCTAAATGAATTCTATAAAAGAGTGGTTTCTTAAGATTCTTCAAGTCTAACCACCCATCCAACTTATTTACACACCCCATTTACAACACCCTTACCTTCATTCAATCTCTGCTAAAAGTGTCCCAATTCAAAATATGAACTTCCTAAATAAGTCATCCATTATATTTGTTAAGAACAACCCTAATTGTTAAAGATCTTTATCCTGTTACGCTTAAATCTAATTTCTTACAATTTTCAATCATTAGTCCACTCGACCCAGTTCTGTCCTCTGTTACAACAGAAAAAGATGATTTGCCTTCTACATAACTATTCTTTAAACAATTTGCATGTACTATTATGATACTCTTCCTCTTAAATTTTCTCAAAACTAAACCTCCCATGTTCTTCAAATAGTTTCTACACTCTGCACTGTTCTTGTCAATCCCCTCTGAACATAATCCAGTTTTTCAGTGTTCCTCTTAGAATACACTGAAATGAACACAAAAGTCCAGATACGATCTGACCAGGGCTATCACTGCCTCTGTGTGTGTTGCCATAAGCATAACTGGCTCTGTTTCTAGCTCTCAAAAGAGAAAGAGAGCTCTGTGGACTGACAAACTGAAGGAAGTTTTCAACAAAGACAGCTGGGAAAGGAAGCTTATATTTTAGACATGCAGAAAACATGAAAAGAATATTTCAGGGATAGAAGTGCAAAACAGTGCAGAAGCAGGAGCTCTGGTAGCTCTGGTAGCTGCAAACCTTAAGGCCAGCAGTTTGAAACTATCAGCTGCTCCACGGGAGAAAGATGAGGCATTCTGCTCCAGTAAAGATTTACAGCCTCGGAAACCCTGTACAGGGTCGCTATGGGTCAGAACTGACTCGACGGCACTTAACAATGACAACAACAACAGTACTAAAGTATCTGTATAAGAGTAAGCAAGACTATAGAGACAACAGGGAAGGCAGAGATGAGAACATTGACTCTCTAACCTGAAGGCAATGAGGCATGATTCAAGATTTAGACCAGGGAACTGATTTCTTGAATGAGATGTTTGGGGATGATTGTAGCAACAGCAAGCAGTTTCTACATCAATTTAACTACTGAGTCAACTTTGTCTACATGAGGAAAGTTTCTAATTCAACTCTATTCCAGTATTAATTGTCATAATGTATCACTTCACAAACTGCTTTCAGAATGAGTGCCATTCCACCTAACAAAATATAATGCAAGATTTATTGTATCCATTTCTTTAAGTTTTTGCAGAATGATTTGCCATTTAATATGAATATCTTAATACATAGGCAGCTGCTTATTTCCATACTTAATAATCTTTACGATCTTCATTCAAAAGACAATCATCTGCCAATCTTCACTCCCCCAGGCTCCAAACAGAAACTAACAACTGTAACACTGAAAGGGAAGGAGATGAGCTAAATAGCAGAATTTCTACACAATGAAAGCTGCCTAATATTATGAAACTGTATGGAAACTGTAGTAGCTCTTCTCTGGAGTTCTTTGAATTCAATTAAATAGAAATTTCTGGCTTAAGGCTATTCCTGCCTGAAGAGTCTTTCATAAGGACTAGCTTTGTTAATACTCTGTGGTAGTTAAGAATTAACAAGCTGTTCAAGAAGCCCAACCTCTCCCAAATCCTGCTACTCAGCAGCTGGGATCTAAAGGAATGAATAGATGTCCAGCTGCTGAGAGATAAAGTCTTATTAAAAGCAAAGCAAAATTCTCATTAATGAAAAATCAACCATAAACAGGGGGAAAAAAAATCTGTGTGTCTTACAAGCCCCAGAAATAATCAAATCCATTTTGGGTTAATGTAGATTTAACATAAGGGTGGAAGAGAACAGAGCACAGCAGTTCCCGTTTGCCAGCAGCTGGGGAAAATACTGAGTTCAGAGAGCTCACAAACAACAATGCTTTTAAGTCCTCAAGCCAGAGGAAACATGAACTCCATCCAGTAAAAGGTGCTGGAGAAAGACCTAGAGAAGGCTCTAGAGGATAAATTCTCTCTCAAGCCACCTTATCCCATCTTGATCATCACAGAACAATAGGCTATAACTTCAAGTTTCTAAAATCAAATTCAAGTGGTAATCTAAACCCTGCTTTTTCTGATAAGATATTCTCTAAAATCACAATCCTTGTATTCATTCAAACTAGCACTGAGCTTCTATGTCAGGTACTAGAAATACAAAAAGTAGTAAAAAACCGTCACTAACCTACGGAGCGTGCTCATCTTAAATTAATTTCAAAGCTCTTTCCTTTACATATCTTCTTAGATGGGTCAAGTGTCCTCAGTGAAAAAGCAATAAAGGCCCTTTACCTTGAATGACTCTGATGGAAGCTTTTTAAAAAAACAGACCTCTTATGCTCTGTTCAGAAAAGAGAAAAGCCAACACACTTTGTTGTTGTTAAGTGCCGTCGAGTGAATTCCGACCCTTAGTGACCTTACCAAGTCAAATATGAGAATAATCTTAGCTTTGACTACGGGTTAAGGTTTCAGGGAAGAAGCAGGGTACAAGCAATAGAGAGCTGCAAGCCAAAACCTACAGAGGAAGAAAAGGATGTGACAGCTGTATAAAGACTGATCAAAGAATCTGCTATTATAGTAGGTTTACGGTGGAAGAAGAAAAGAATGCGTGTCAGACTGCCCACTATGGAGAAAAGCCATCCGCGGTCTCCTAGCTCATCTACTCTCACTAGGGGAGAGCCCCGGTTAACACTGAATAGGATCTGGGCCTGCCCGCCTACAAAACCGTTCTCACTTGGCTACCAGAATGGAAAGGTAACAGTCCCTCACAGGAGCGTGGAGAAAAACAAGAATGGGTAGAAAGAACTCTTTTAATGCTTAAAAATGAATGCTAACATAATCGTCCTCCGAGGCAACGATGGGAAGTGAAGTTGGAAAGACGTGGTAACCGTACGCCCACCGAAAGCTTCCTAACACCCCCTTGGCGACCTCCCCCCCGCCCCCCGCCCCGCCCCAGTCAGCGTACTCACCGCGCACACAGAGAAGCGACATGGCCGAGGCGCCGGCGAGCCTCTGCCGCGCCCCAACCGCGCCACAGGACCCGGCCGCTCCTAGTCCTCTCAGCAGGTGCAGCGCCTGCTCCCGCTATCAGTCCCACCAGTCTGGCCGCTCTGCATGGTTCCAGTCGAAGTTGCGTCCCGCAGCTCCCTCGGACCCACGCCACTTCTCACCGTCAGAGCGAGCTATGGAAGGTGGGGAGTACCAGCCGGTAGGCAGGGGACTGGGCGCGGCACCAGGGCGCCATCGCCGGGAGGCAGCAGGAGCGGTGGGAACTCTCTCCAGTCACTCCACCAGGGATTCGTGCGAGCGCCTGGGCGGAGCCAACCCGGCGCGCCCCGCCCCTCCGCCAATCAACTCACGCCCAGTCCACCGACTCCGCCCTCCCAAGCACGTAGGAGGCGGAGTATCCCGCTTTCTCTACGTGCGCGACAGACGGCAGCTCCACCCACTACTAATAAGGCTTAAAGCACAGAAAGGCGAAACTTTTCTTCACCTGTGTAAGGCCAGTATTGAAGATCTCCGCTCCTCCTTTGTGGGCGGGGCTTCCACCTTGGAACGGACGCTTTTCATTGAAGAATTTCCTTACCGTTGACAGGGTCTAAACCAAGCCAAACCCATTGCCATCGAGTCGATTCCAACTCGTATAACCTGTAAGACAGACTAGAAATGCCCTATAGGGTTTCCATGACTGAAAATCTTTACGACAGTAGACTGTACTATCTTTCTTCTGCACGTGCCTGTATGCTTCAACTAGCTGTAGGTTAACTCACAGGGCAAACCAAAGATAAATAAATAAAACCAAACCCATCACCGTCGAGTTGGTTCCGATTCATAACGACTCCACATGGAAAAGAAAGTTTTCATCAGCAACTAAGCTAAGAAAAAAAATCTGAGTAAGCATAAAGTATGTCTGGAGACCTGGTTCCCATATAAGTCTTTTTTTCACACTCATACATTGTATCTCCAATGCCTGGAATGCATAGGAAGCACTCCGGAAATATTTACTTAATGAAGGATGGAGTGAGTGCATTTTAAGCAGAGGGCTTCTGACAAGACAATTCATGCACATGTGAGGAATTGGAAAAGATGGAAACAGACAGCACTGGTGGATAGAGTTCAGGCATTCTATTTTTAAAAGCTCCCCAGACAATTCTAATGTGCAGGCAGGGTGGCGCCCCACTAGATTAGGTGCTTTCTAAGGCTTCATTGTTGTTAAGTGCCGTCCCATAGTGATTCTGTATAGGGTTTAGGAGGAGTGGCTGGTGAGCTTGAATTGCCAACCTTGCAGCTCAAACTGACTTTGCAGTCCAGAACATAAACCCACAGCACTGCACCAGGTCATATTTCAGTGTTTGCAAGCTGGTGGCCCCATGTGATCCCACCTACCAAAATCAAGGATGGTTTGTTTCCAAAAGCAAGCCTGCTTTTTTCTCTCATTCCTCTCACTGGAACAAGTGCTATTAGAAAGTGATACTCCAAATGCTATGGCTAGAAGCTTGGAGAAGGAAAGGGAAAGACTTGATCTTCCCAGTGTTTACCCAAGTTTGGGTTAATTCCTTGAGGAAGATTTTAAGCAGGGGTAACTCAGTTAGCCTAGTCAACCACAACACCTTGGACATTCCCTGAGATACCAGGGGTTGGAGTTCTCAGCTATTTAGTCCAGTTGTCCTATATATAAAGAACAAGAAACAATACAGGAGTTAAACTTCTGAATACTGGGACTGAGTATGTTGTTGTTAAATATTGAATTAGTTCTAACTCATAGCCACCCTGCCTAGGGTTTTCAAGGAGTGGCTGGTGGGATTCAACTGCTGACTTTGCAGTTCATACAGATCTTGCGATCTAGTGTATGTCCTGCAATTTCAGGGACTCAGTATAGGGACAACAAAAAGCAGATTTTTTTATGAACCCAGGGATTCTCCTAGGTGATGAAAAGACCAATCAATGGAAGATGAAAATTTTCCCTCACTGGGAAACGCCCCAATAAAATTATGATGAGCATGGACTTGCAGCTAGTCAGATTCACCTAGTGTATTATCTATTACTGTTTAGCAAGTTACCCAAAATTTTGTGGCTTAAAACCACAACATTTAATGTCCAACAGTTTCTGTGAGTCAGGAATCTAGGCACAGCTTAGCTGTATCGTCTGGCTCAGAGTTTCTCACAGGCTGCAATAAGAGGTCAGCTTGATAGTGGAAGGATCCATTTCCAAGGTTACACATGTCATTATTAGCAGGATTCCGTTGTTAAAGGATTATTGGACTGAGGAGCTTAGTTCTTTACTGGCTTTCAATTCCTTGTCATGTGGGCCTGTCCAACATGGCAGCTTACTTCATCAAAGCATACATGCTGAGCAGGCAACAGACATCAGTTGCAAAACAGAAGTCAGAGTTATTTGTAACCTAATCACAGAAGTGATGTCCCATTATTTTTACTGTTTTTTATTCATCCAAAGTAAGTTACCTGGCTCCTGAGCCCAGAGACAGGGACATGGCCACAGAGGACTAGAACGGAAAGTGAAACATCCAGCTGATATGAAGTGAGGGGAGATGCACAAGAACACCTACACTTGCAGATAATACCCACTTGACCTGGCTTAAAGGCTGGATGATCAGAATGCAAATAGAAGAAGAAAGAAGAGGGAAAAAAGAGTAACCTGCTATAATTTGATGAACTTGACCTATACTTATGGATGTAATAGCTCAAAAGAGAGAACAAATCTTTACAGTGAGGATCATTCCCACCCCCTTGGTACAAAGGGTCGACAGGGATAGGCAACTTAGACATTGGCTACACAAAATGGGGGGACTACAAAGGCAAGAAGTAACTGGCTTACAAGCTTTCAAGAGGGAGCCTCATTCCAGAGGGTACAGGGGAAGGTAGATTCTCCACTGAGTGGTTTCCAACCTGTCTGGACGAGACTGATGAAAGGAGATGAGGATAAGACTTTTGTGATTCAATAGTGAATAATTGTTATCAGGACTGACTATGAGTGTTGGAAATGTAAAGGTAGATGTTTTATAACAAAAGGAGGGGAGTGGTTGATTTTGCAGTCCAGAAGCGGGGTCCCTGGGACCAGACCCTATCCAGAGAAGCAGTGAAACCAGAAATGGAGGCAGAGACAATGACCTGGAGAGATGGAACAGCTGGGGACACTGGACTCAGGGATGGAGAGGGTCTGTGTGCTGACGGCCAGGGGGCAGATTTATGGGATGTACCCTTTGTTTGATGATGCATGGAAGGGATTGTAATCATTGCAATTAAATGAAATATGATAGGTTGAATGTAAAGCTAATGTTCTCCCATGTAAACTATCACATAATTCACAATAAAAACTCAAAAAAAAAAAAAAAAAGTAAGTCACCTGGACAAAGTAGACAGGGAAGCACTGAGGGAGGTTTGCATGGACTTATATGAGACAGTGGTAAATAGTGATATATGCTCAACCTTGGAACAACAGGGCTCTGTGATACAGGGGTTAGGGCATAGTCTGAATGGGTTAAAGATGGGAAATAATGTTAAGATACTTGACTGTCTTATGAATATTGGTTTCCCTTGCTTACTACTGTAAAATAGACACTTGAGTGGGATAAAAAGGAGTATCAGGAAACATGATTATGGAAAGCTTGTAAGTCCATCTTCAGCCTAAAACTGATTAGAATACCTAAAAGGGGGTTCTAGAACTTGCCCAGTGAAATAGGCTTCCTGTGGAGCCTTTGTAGTCTATAAGACCTTAGATGGAATCCTGAGCCCCATCCAGAACCTTCTGAGGTGGAACATTCCTACTTGAAAAGACAAGCAGACCAGCCCGGAACAACTAGAACAGAAGACACTTCTTGAAAGGAAGACCAGCAGGAAAAATCCAAAGCAAAGATGGCAATCTGATTGGATACTGCAAGAACGAGCAAGTTGTTCATGGGAGAGCCATCCAGGCAAGCAATCAAGTCCCTTCAGGACAAACCCCGCTTCAAAACTGAAACTCAAAGGGAACACATGAGCAGGCATGGTGCTGGTGACCATATTGGTCTACTGGTGAGTGGAAGAGGGGGAAAGGCAGCAATGAAGATATGGGCCAAGTTCAACCATGTTCCATAGACTCTGTCGACCCGGAGATGAAAGAGAGAAGAGGAAGGGCTGGTTGATCCAAAGTGTGGCGAGACCTGGGGACTCCTGAGCCCATAGATAAGGACAAGCCTCCAAGGGCTAGAGCTGAGAGTGAAGCATCCAGCTGATATGAAGTGAGGGGAGACTCACAAGAACACCCAAACTTGTAGATAGTACCCATTCAACCTAGCTTCGACGGCTTGATGATCAGAACTTGACTATAGGAAGATAAAGAAATTTGATGAAGGAAGCAAGTGTAAATTGTTACAATTTGATGAACTTGACCTATACTTATGGATGTAGTAGCTCAAAATACCAACTGAGAGTGAAAGAGTCTTCATATATCAAGGATCAGTCCTATCCCCTCTGTATACAGGATGGATAGGGACAGGCAATTTAGACACTGGCTACCTAAAATGGAGGGGCTATAAAGGCACGAAGTGATTGGCTTACAAGTTTTCAAGAGGGTATTTAGTTTCGATGACAGGTAAGACAGAGGAATTCACACTGACCGCCTAAGACAGGCAGCGTCCCTTAAATAAATAATAAATAAGGGGGAATCTGATGCAGACCATGCAGACCCGGTCAGGAGTTCAAGTCCCTGTGGGCCCAAGCGTTGCAGACCGTCCAAACCATAGGCTCTGAGGATCAGACTTTAGCCACCTAGCAGACATAGCAAACTGTCCCTCATCTGATTATTCAGTTATGCTTGTTAATAATTGCATACATGAGCCCTGGATATCCACAGATAAATGTAAAAACCTTCTCTAAAAGCCGAGACTGTAAATTCCAAAAAGGCAAAGTTCCACCCCCTCAAAAAAAAGCTAAAGAGGATAGAGAGAAACACTGTTAACTGATGATGAATGGAGAGGATTATAATAAATGTAATGAAACAAGTCATATGAATGGTTGAATGTGAAACTGATGATGTGCCCGGTAAACTTTCACTCAATCCACAATAAAAACCTTAAAAAAAAAAAATTCAGAATGTGATCCACTAAAAAAAAAAAAAAAGAGGGTATTTAGTTTCATATGGCGTGGCGTAACGTAGAATCCCCACTGAATAGTTTTCATCCTATCAAGATGGGTCTGGTGAAAAGAGATGGGGCTAAGGTTCTTATGATTCAATAGTGAGTAATTGTTATCATGACTAATTGTAACTGTCACAACTGTAAAGGTAGAAGTTT